TGTCTAGAGTACCAGACTTTTCGATCCGCAGCCCAGCACTCTAATTACCAGGCTATGCTCACCCCAAAGTTACTAGGATATTGCAGTAGAGTGTTCTAAAATTACATTAAGGTACTTTAAGACTATAACTGAATGCCAAGAAATTACAGTTGAGAACACAGATTCCGCAATGTTTAGCTTACTGAGAAAATGTAGTAGGTTGTTAAGAAGTCTCAGTTGATTAACAGTAGAGAATTAGGAAACTATAAAAGAACTGAGAGACAGCAGGTGAATACCATGAGACTGTAAGGTTATCGCACTTTCTAATCAAATTAAATATATTTAGTGTTGGTTTACTTGGTTTGGTTTTATATGAAAAGCTCGAATAATTAATGTACATAAGCTATAGTTAGTATATTCGTAATTAAAATTATATTTAAACTGGTTTACTTGATAAGTGAGCTAATATGATTCTCATTTACTGACATAAACTGTTTCAGGGCTATCAAGCTATTTTGGCCATTAAGGTCATTACGTTTCCTGATGAACTAATATAAGTCCATTGGGGTAATTTCCTGTTTATTTGAAACAGATTAAGAATACAACAACTATATTAGTATTTGCTAAGGCCTCCTAATTATATTCAAATTACATATGTGAACACAAACGGTTGGTTTAAACTATCGAATTTATTCATTGTTTCCTTGCCGATTAACTGTACGTACAGAAGAGCTCCAAACCTGATTAATAGTTTATATCTTATAGCTTAAATAGAAATTTGTTTGGTTTGATTTACCTCAGATTTATCTGACAAGAAAATTAAACTTACTATAAAAAGGAAATATATAGGATTCAGAGTTTGTTAAAACATCTTATCTGAAATCAGAATTATTTACCATGCCTGTTGAAAACACCATATCTGTTTGTTTGTTTTATAGTTAAGCAAAAAGCAACACAATGGGCTATCATTTCTGTGCCCACCACAGGTATCGAAACTCGGTTTCTAGCGTTAAAAATCTTCAGACTTACCGCTAAGCCACTGGGGAGTCTATCGTATCTGAAAGCATAATTATACACTATTCCTGTTGAAAAATATTACTGGACAAGTTCATAATGATGTGATTAAAATTATGCCAAGTTTTATTGTCAACACGCATGTAATCCTATAAGCTTCATGCATCGCCAGTATCGGCGTTATGCTTCAAGCTTCTCCAGTTTCGGCGTTATATTTCGATCGCTATATAAAACTCTAGTTGGGCGTTACATTGAAAAATTCGCCCATTCAAAATTAGTAGTTTGTGAAGAAGTGTTAATCAGTTTAACATAAACTTTATTTTGGTTAAATTAGAAAGAGAATGACAGCCATAACGAAAATACTGTTTATTTCAATTTTTAAACAAACTTTTAAAACAGATCTGGCTCTGTATGACCACTGACTTCGCTTTCTACAGACGACTAGTAACAGGTGTTACGTCTCTGTCGTGTACCTAAAGAAAATGCGAATATCATAAGTACGGAAGTACTTATATTAGGAATGGGGCGGATACACAATACATGCAATACAAAGTATTTACTTATATATATACACATTTAACAACCAAATAATAAATCTTCAAAAGTGTTTGAGAGACTCATATAGGTGATAAACAAACCAAATACAAAATTACAAGCCATAGTACCACTTGAGAAAGTCAGCAGAGTAGATACAAAAAATTCACAAAACCACGAAATTCTCACTGACTGACATTGTTGAACACTACTAACTGTGTAACAAACAGACACAAATAAATGAATGATGCATAAGACCATATTACCTTGCATTAAAAAAAAGTGCACCAACAAGTAGAAAACATTTTAAAAAAGTGTAGGAATAGGTGAACAAAAAGTAAAGAAACAAGGTAGGAATGGGCATGGTGTTGTAAAACTTCCTTTGTAGAATATCACAAGGGGGTGTCCATGCCTTCTTCGTTTTCCTGTGTTCGTGATATTATAGAACTTATGGGTATATACAAAAGTATCTATGATTCTTCTACTTTTGTATATACAGTAACGAATCCATGACGTTGATATACAGAAACCACTTAGGATTTTTTATTTTTGTATTTTAATCCACCTATTTAGCTAATGTACGAAATCCGGTTATCTTCTCATGCAATTGCAAAAGAAAGGACAAGTTGTAAAGAAAACACAAACATACAAGTTATGGGTTTACACAAATATCTGATTTTCCTGGTGTCGTATAAACAGACTTTAGAGTACGTTTATTGCCTCTAATAATTCGATTTACAGAAACCTCTAGTCATTGTATGATAAGCTTAACTAAGTGTGATAAGTTTACTCCACCTGGCTTATTGTATACAGGATAGAAAGAATAAACAAGGTAGGCATGGACCGGATGTTGGACACGCCCCCCCCCCTGTTAGTTCGTACTGAGGAATTTTTAATATACCACGTCCATTCCTGTCTTGTTTCCTCACATATCTGGTGTACTCGTTCCTACACTTTCAATTTTTTTAAATATATATCAGCATTTGTTTCAAAATACACTTAAGTCTTTTCCGTTAGGTATTATGTATAAACAGCTGGGTAACATTTGTCTTGTCCGTAAGTATAGTATGCTATATCCGTAACGGTCATGGCCAAGTGGTTAGGACACTCGACTCGCAATCTGTGGGTCGCGAGTTCGCATCCCCGTCCCACCAAACATGCTCGCCTTTTCAGCCGTGGGGGCGTTATAATGTGACGGTCAATCCCATTATTCGTTGGTAAAAGAGTAGCCCAAGAGTTGGCGGTGGGTGGTGATGACTAGGTGCCTTTCTTCTAGTCTTACACTGCTAAATTAGGGACGGCTAGCGCAGATAGCCCTCGTGTAGCTTTGCGCGAAAACAAACAAACAAACCGTAACGGTATGTTAATAATATATAAATTGCATTACAAGAAATGCGATAAACGAGGGCTCTCGGATGATTTTCCAAAAGCACTCGGATTACAGGGTTTTTTGTTTTGTGATTTATCTGTTTTCTTCATCTTAAGATTTTTCTCGGTTTTATGGTTAGTAAAATAAGCATATACATATGGGTGTGAACTTCTCGGGTTTATTCAAAATCAATAAAATATATTCAAAGGTTTAACTTATCGTTTGTTTATATTCGAATCTCAAAATCAGTCAGCAGTGTTAACAGTTGTTACCACATATACCCAGAGTTATAGATTGATATAAATAACAGCAATATCTAAAAGAAGAGCCTTTGGCTGAAAAGCAGCTTTAAAGCTCGGAAAGCACTACTGATCGACCAAAAGCCAGAATAAAAATAAACAGTAATTCAAAACTGATAATTATGAATATATATATATATATATATGTGTGTGTACTCAAGGAAAAAAAAGTTTATATCGGATGTGTAAATCAAAAATATATGTAAGAAAACTTTGAGATTTCTTTGCTTGAAAACAAGATTATTTTCGATGAAATTATCATTATTAATATGAAAACATGCTGTGTATTTACAGGACTATTCCATCGCAGCATCATGCAAAGCGGATCTGCACTCAGCCCCTGGGCAATAGCCCGACAGGCTCCAGAGTTTACTCGTCAGCTAGCTAACAAGCTAAGTTGCCCGACAGTCAGCAATGTTGTTATGGTTGATTGCCTGAGAAATCGACCTACGGAAAGCATATTAAACGTAGAGTTAATTGTAGCGGACTATCTGCCATCCTTCGGACCAGTTGTTGACGGAATTGTGATACCTAATGAGCCTGAGATACTGATGAGAGACTACAATAACCTGTACAACCAATATGATCTTCTGCTTGGTGTCTCTAGAATGGAATTTTACTTCAAGTTTTCAGCGAATGAAGAACGTTATGGTATAGAAGAAGGTCGTCGAACTAAGCTGTTTCAGACATTAGTAACAAACGTATATACATATCATTTGCAAGAAATATTTTATGTAATAGAAAATGAATATACGGACTGGGAGAGAGCTAATCAACACCCCATCAATACTCTGGAGAATACCGCTGATGCTATGGGCGATGGCCTTGTTGTTGGCCCTTTGCTTAAAGCAACTGAATACAGAGCAAAAGGAAGCAAGAAAACGTTTCTATTTGTATTTGGTCATCAAACAGAAGAGTCGGAATTCCCTAAGCGATTTGGTTGTATTCATGGGGAAGATCTTCCCTATGTTTTCGGTGCTCCTTTAGTTGGAAATCTTGCACATTTCCAGCAAAACTTTTCCCGTTCAGAGGTGTCGTTAGCAGAAACCGTCCTGACGTATTGGACCAGTTTTGCGAAAAGGGGGTAATATTTCTTTACTTCTGTCCCTAAAACAAGTTTAAATTTAAAAAAGTTTCAGATATAAATTGCATCGCTTAGTAAATTAATACAAGAATTTCAACACTCTTTTAATTTTAAATTAATGTTGACATGAGGCAGCGAAAAGGTAAGGTATTTCTATATGTAACATACATTTTTCAGGATACTAGGATAAGTATCATTCAAATAAGAAAAATAGAAAAATGATTGAAAAATGTTGCTAATTCTGTGAAAATTACACTTAACTGTTATTTTAAATTAAAACATGTGAATTGTATCTGTGACTTCGTAGCTTACTATTCTTATTCGAATAAATTTACCTAACTTTTCTTTGAATTCTTTTTTTCTTCTTGTAAATATAACTTATATTAAATATTTGAGGAATAAGAATGTACAACACAATTTTGATACCAATTGAAGCAATACTGTCTTATCTTTAAGATGTTTAATGTTTTAACCTATAACAAAATTGTTAGAATTTTGATTTTTTATGAAAGGACCCGAAGTATAGATTATAGTTATATTTTTACCACCAGTGTAAAGCAAAAATATAATTTAGAACAAAGTGGAAATACATTTAAAGAAAAGAGATTAACTACATGCTTACAGTTGAATCAAAATTTTCATAGTTATAACAACAATTATTGCTCAGAATTGGTAAACTTGTAGTTGAAAAGAAAGAGTGACAAAGTGCATGCTGTAATTATATCTTGAAAATGTATTAATTCTACCTTCAGAATGTCACAATTGAGGCTTGGAGATATAGTATTTTCAATTTAAAACTAATACAGCTATAGCGTGGTGGTATAAAGATTTGGCTTAAAATTTGAGGATTGCTTGGAAACGACACACGTTGTGGATTGAAGATAAAACATGAATGGTTTACAGGTAACTGGTTTAGAAAGGTTACAGGTTGAGAACAGAAGAATGTAGTTTAGACTTTTATGCCTTGGTGAAATAATATTTCAAGTTTAGTGGCTTGAAAATAATATTTGTGCATTTGGTAGATAGCGGTGGTATGGTTTACAAGTGAATAGTTCTGGTTTATAGGTCAACTGCTATATGTTTTAGAGGTATTTCAGTTATAGTTTGGGCACATGAAGAGTTTGTTTTAGAAATATTTTTCGTCTTGGTGGAATAAGAGTTAAACCTTCATGGCTTGACAATAAATGATGTATAATTTAATGGTAAATAGGAGTGTTATGGTTCAAATATTGATATTGTAGTTAGAGTCTTAGAGATAGTATATTTGTGACTTTGATATGATACAGTTGTACCTCAGAGATAGAAATGTCATGGCTCAGAAGAGCTATGTTTGGAAATAAAATAATAGTGGGAAAATAAGATGTATATTTTAAAAACACTATACTTGTGCTTTTAAATAGAAAAGGTGTGGTAGTTGTTATATTGTTATCTTTAAAATAATAGAGTTGTGAAGGTGTTACATTTATGATTGAAAACGTAAAAATTAACTTTTAGAAATGGTGTCGTTAGATATAATTGGCGGTGTAGAAAAGGTGCTGTTATGCTTCCGTAACATAAATTCTATGATTTAAGAGGTGATGCTGTAATACTTCGCAATAGAAATATTATTTTCTAGAAGTGTTACACTTATGCTTATAAGCATAAGAACTGAAATTTGTAAATAGTGCTATGATGCTGTTAATATTAATACAGTTGTTGGTGACGATTAAAACTTTATAATTACAATTATGTTTTTGTTATGATAAAACTATGGTTAAGAAGTGATACATTTATAAGTGTTAACAGACGAAATACGATTTATAGATGATATACGCATAGCTTTGTAACGATAGAATTATACTTACTGTTGAAAGAGTAATAATTTTGACGTTGAATATGTCTAGAGGGAAAAGACTTAAGATTTAATGCTGCCGCATGGAGTTAAAATAACTGTTGTAAATAGGTGGTATTGGTAGGAGAAATAAGACAAGTTATTTTTGAAAATTTGTACAGTGTTATGTTTATTAAAACTAATCGCATGATGTTTCTGGCCTTACGTTTTTGCCCTTCGAAGTACCTCCATCATCATCGGTGAAGCACAGTCCAACTCCGCAATTTTCATTGTAACAAGTATTGAAAAGGATAGTGAGGTTTATCTTCAGTCCAACTCCGCAATTTTCATTGTAACAAGTGTTGAGATGGATAGTGAGGTTAATCTTAGGTCACATATCTTAATAAATTTTCCAAAGACCTTTTGTTGTACGTGGACGTGAGTTTCCAAGGCCACGTTTAAGCAGACCAAAAGCAAAAAAGTCTATTGGAACTGCATTTGAAGATTTACAGGTATGAGGTCGAATGGGATGAATATCATTCCAATTTTTTCATTAAATTTTCTCATGCAAACAGCTTTGATTTTAAGACGTCGTTAGAATCTGATGGATTTTTAGCTTATTAATCTTCTTCAAATTCAAACCCTTGTCTATTATCACGTTAAAAATACAAGGAGATATGCCCAGCTTCATTTAAGTAGCTTTCTATATATATATATGGTCAAATATTGCTAAGCGTGTTGCCAGTGGCGTCACAGTTTATACCCGCGGCGACTTGACACTGTGTCATCACATAAAAATGGCTTATATAAAGAGCGATTAACCCATTGCAAAAACGATACAATCATATATGAAGATTAAAAGAGACTGGATTTAGAAGTGGTTCAGTTATATATCAATGTAAAGACATTCTTGTTTAGAGGAAGTACATTTATACCTTGAAATATAAGGCTTGTGGTTTAAATAATTAAGAATTCAGCTTTATGTACAAACTGAATGTCCTTCATTTTTGGGTTATTGCTACTTTTCTTTTCAAACCTGAACAACACCTTATGTAACACATGAACAAAGTTGCCATATCAGAATCCCTAGTTGAGTTGACTACCAAGAACAAACCCATAGGTTGGGCCGACAGGATTTAATCCCTCTTGTAGATGCAGATACGAGTTTCTTTACTATGTTACTAGTGGCTGTCCCCCGGTGAGACAGCGGTAAGTCTTCGGATTTACAATGCAAAAATCAGGGGTTCGATTCCCCTTGGAAGACACAGCAGATAACCCGATGTGGCTTTGTTATCAGATAACACACACATACCTGTGGCTTTCTGGCTATATATTGCCCTATTGATTCCCCATCTTTTTCTAGTTACAGTATACGTTACTTTGTTTTCAAGCAGTTTCATTCCTTCTGAATATCGACGAAGACTGTTCAAGTTGCTGCTTTTGTCTTATTAATACTGAGGAGTCAATCTTAATAAAGTTTTAATAAAGGGACTTCTCATTTAGTTTTACCCCTGCATGGGCTGACACGTATATTCTGGCTATGGCACCATGCAGAATTCCTAAAGTTCTGGTATAGCAATTCACTCCTAATTTAGCTGTCTAGATAAGGAAAATCCAATCAGTAACACTCGAAACCAACACGTTTACTCTTCTTACTTTACAAGAAAGCTATTGGAGTAATGATGAGGGTTAATCGCACTTTATAAAACTATTTGCACATGTAGTGACATGTCTCTGCAGAGCCAGACCGTAATAACAAAAATGACATATTTAGTACCTAAACATTTGGTTCGTGACGAATTTCCGATAGTTTGACAGTTTTCAATGCTGTCATGGATTACTTTGGCTAGGGATTTATGACACAGGCTATTCCGAATTGAAGAATAGATCCTTCAATACGCATCACAAAAGCGAAACGAACTCGCACAAAGTAACTTTGGGATATAAAACTAATTCATAGCAATATTAATTCACAAAGTCCCTGATATGGTTATGAAAGAGAATCTCCTGACCCCCAAACACATTGCAATGAAGTTGAATATATCTCTTAGTACCATTAAGAATGTAACAAACAATGATTTCAAAATGATGAAAACTCACAAACTAGAAGTACATAAGCTTGCTGTTACAGCTCGAAACTAACGGCTCTTTACAAGAGAAAGATGGCTGAAGAAACTAGAATCACAGTAATTTCATTCGGCTATATATCTCAATAGTCTCCCCTTGTAATTCCAAGAGACTTTGTACTTTTGGTATTCTTATACTAGTCGTGAAAGCTAACGATGGAACATTTGTCATGGTGTCTGCTCTAAGACTGATATCCACATTTTTTGTAGAAGCCTGTTAAGATGGATACTGGTTGTCGGTCAATAGTCGGACGATCTGCATTAAGCATCATATGACATCACGATACCTAAAATATCGTTTTTACAATTAGTATGCTTACAACTTCAATGCGGTGATTTAATTCGTAATAATATATATTTGACCTTTATAGAGACATTTCCCTTATAACTATACCTAGAACTGTTAAACCTTAGGTAGAATAAAACACTAAAAATGCCTGTTACATCAATAACTTTGTTATTAGAGGTCCTACAAAACAATAAAATTTGAGTTATCTTTGGAGTTCACTCATAAAAGAAATTTTCATGTGTATCTTAGAATGGATGAAGCTATCTTCATGATTTTTGCGTTAAATGAAAAACATAAACCTATATTTCTTTTAACATGAAGACCTCTATAATATAAGGTAAATATTGGTTTTATGTCACTAAGTTTACTTTGAATTTGAAAATGTGTGTTGTTGTTGTTTTTTGTAATGAAATCTAGTTCGTATCACCATTTTTTTATTTATTCTTTATCTTTCAATATTAAACTATTAAGTCGTTCCTAGTGAAAACACATTTTAGTTTAAAACAACAAATGTAGCCTTGTCAGCTGTTAAATAGAATTAAACTAAATAGTTAAATTCATTCTTTACATTAATAAATCATATATTTAATCGCAGAATACTGACATGCTAGTATATTCTTTCGTCGTTTATGCTCATTCTTTCTGACATCTAACTTGAATCTCTAACACACATGAAAATTAAAGTCATAACATTCTGGGATAATAAGTAATATTTAACTATGAGCCTCATTAACATCACAAGCTAAAGGTTTTAAGATTTTACACAAATATTTCT